AAAAAAAAAAAGATTTTAAAAAAAAATCTGATTAAAAAAAAAAATGATTAAAAATGATTAATAATTAGGGTATAGTTAATTGATTAAAAAAAAAATCTGATTAAAATGATTAATAATTAGGGTATAGTTAATTATATAAAAAAAAAGTCTTTTAAAAAAAAATCTGATGATTAATTATATAAAAAAAAAAAGATTTTTAAAAAAAAATCCGATTAAAAAATGACTAATAATTAGGGTATAGTTAATTTTATCCGATAGAAAATGATTACTAGTGCTTCGACCCGGATGAAAACCGTCATCCGGATTACACAAAAAAATTCTAAATTTTTTTTTTTCACAATCATTTTTCATGAATATTGAATACACTAATCGAAATAGTCCAATTCGGTCAAAATTTCGTACAGGCAGACTCGGATATGCCAATATGGTAAGTTTCTAATCGAATACTTATCTAGTAATTTTTTTAATTTGTTTTTTAAATTTTTTCTTTTTATTTTGTAGGTATCCAGTTCCTTCACCATTAGACTTTTTAGTTGGATTTCTTGACGTTGGACGCCACTTGGACAGTACCTTGCTGTAAATCAATGTCTTGGAATGAATCGGTAATTTTGAAGCGAATCTTTGCTTCAAAACTTTTAAAATTTATTTTATCCTTTTTTTTAATTTAAGAAACGAACTAATATTTCTTTTTTATTGTTTATTTTGTAGGAAGCCGGCTTGGTCACAAAACCGGACTTTACGGTAAGAAACGGAAGGGTGATTTATTTTCATTTTATTTTTAAGAAAAACTAACATTTTTTTGTTATTTTTTTTTGTAGGGCGAGTAGGAGTACGCCAGCTTAAACATGAAACCGGACTTTAAGGTAAGAAACGGGTAGCGTTCATTTGATTAAAATCAATAATAGTTACTGCGAAGGACTTAAATATTTATGAAGATGGATAAATAAAAAGCAAAAAATTATCACTTCATTTGTAATCAAACCAATAAAATAAAAAATAAATACTACATATAAATTTGGAAAATTAAAATATTTTTTATAACGATTATTAACTGTTAACTTTACTACTTCAATATTAATACAGTAATTGAGAAGTTTTAAATTTCAAATAAAATTTACAAATCTTTTTTCTTCAATTCCTCTAATATATCATGCAATTTTTCAACCTTAACTTTTAAACACTTTTTCTTAGCTCTAACATCAATTTTATCAATTTTTTCAATTGAATTATCACCTTTAAATATTTTAATCAAATTATCAATATCTACATTCAATTCATTACCAATAAATAATAATTCTTCGATTACCAATTTAATATTATCATCACATTCATCATATTTTAAATGCGAATGCTCATCATAATCCTTTTCTTTAAAAATAACGCTTGTTGATGTTACTTCAAAATCATAACCTTCATAAATAACACATTGTTCACCTTTTATCTTATTATCCCATTCTTCAAAATTTTTAGATTGACTAAAGTAATATATATGTTTTGGTTCAGGTTTAGGTTTCGAAAAATAAGGTTTGTATAATGCTTCATAATCTACTATATGATTTGCTTGATATCTCAATAATCTTTGTTTACCTTTAGTACCTGCTGTAGAATATACACCACTAAATAAAGCAAAAAAATAATAAAGTGAATTATATAATAGATTATGTTTACAAAATTGGTAAAAAAATTACTTACTTCATAAAAGCAATCAAGATGTTCTGTAAAATGGTTACAAGGAATATACTAGCAATCAAGGCAAAAAAATCAATGGCCCAAAAATCAAATTGTCCTCTTTGAACCCAATTACCAGTAATCCAAAAATATGCAGCTTCTATTGATGTAAAAAAAGCTGAAAATGGATTATCTTTAGATGTGGGATCAAAATCGGATTTAAATTTAATATCAAGTATCTCATTAGTTAATAAATTTGTAGCAATTCCACTATATGTAGATTCTTTGATTTTTATGTTTGTGTTTTTAGGGTCTCTAAGTAGAATAAACCTATATATATATATTATATAAAATAAAGAAAATTAATCATATTGAAAATTTGAAAAAAAAATAATAAATCAAAAAAATAATAAAAAACATTTTAAATACATTGTGTGTGCAAATGCAATTATCACAGCTAACATAAACCAAAAGAATGGAATTATGGCTTCGAAAATAATCATGACATAATAAATATAAATTCCAATATCTGATGTATAATAGAAAAGAATATATTAATTCATAATTCGTTGTGAAGAAATAATAATTAAATAAAATGTATTCTTTTTACCTGATTTTAAACGGAGAAATAAAATCTAAAGTTATTTAAATTGGTTGATTAACTTTTACATAGAAATAAAAAGAAATATTTATTCATGAAGAAAACTTACAAATTTAATCCAAATTAAGAAAATTGAGAATGATATCCCCACAACTAAACTAGGATCAGTTTCCTTAACACTTTCAAAACCATTAGAAAGTTGAAAATCGTTATTCATTATCGACATTACCGAAAAAGAAAGTATAATAGAAATTATATCAAAAATGGTAAGTAAGTCAAGAAAATATTTTTTGGGACTACGATAGATCAACTGAAAAATTTCAGTCAAAATTTGATAAATTGCCAAATAATAGAATATAATAATTAATACAAGTAGAAAATATCCATTTATAATATTTCCACGAGTCAAATATGCCCAACTAATTAATATAAAACAAGTGGCAAAAATAAGAAAACGAAGGAAGAGTGAATACATAAAATATTTTGCTTTATGCCAGCGAAAATCGATAACTGCTTCAATTGCTGGATTGTCATAAATATCATCATTATTCTCATGTAATATCATCTTAGAAAAAGGGCTTAACTTAAACTTTTCATCATGACTAATCCTGTACCTTGGTGGTATAATTAAGAATACAAAAACTTCAATAAAAAATATTGAATAATGTGATTCTGAAATTCTGTTCGCAGTAAAACAGGGAAAAGGAACCATTTGTAAAACTATTGGTGATTTCTCGAAGTTTCTACTTTTTTTGAATTCATTTTTGTAATATCTAAATTGGCTCCAAATCCCATTATCGTACCACTTAGACTTATCAGACTTCAGTTCAACTTCAGGTGCAAAAGCTCTAAATTTGGTGTCATTATTGTAACTTTCTAAGTATTCTTTCGGAATAATTTCATCAGAATCTTGAACTGAGGGATCACCGAGAATACCCTGATCTGCAAAACATCTGATAAATAACTTTCTGGCAAAATCGTCTAAGTTTCATGTAAAAAAAAAATATAAATTTCATAAACTTTTTGGACGAAATAAAATTAGAATTAGAAAAGGAAAACGAACCATAATTATATTTAAATAATAAAGGAATTGCCTTAGAAACAGTACACAACCAGCCCACACAATTTGTTGGATTTCTAGAATAATATTCCAAAAGATATGCAACAATGATCGCATCTTTAAGCTCACGACCTATAAATAAAATAATGTTATTTTGATTGTAATCAATATTATTGCGTCATAAAGTTAGATTTACCTCTACAATGATAAATTGCTAACTCCATATTATTTTCTAGCATGAATTTGTCATCATCGCTTTTGTCAAGGTCATCACCTTTTAAAAACTTTTTTTCTGGCCATGATTTATTACTTGGTACATGTCTGTAATCAATTTTATTTTCAGAGGTTTCTCCATATTCAAATAATATAAATTTTACCAAACGATCACAGTCACCAATTATTAAATTTTTCATAAGATTATATCGAACATCTAATAATCTGAAATTTTCTGGTTCATACTTAGCAAATCTCCAGACTATATGTTCGACGTAGTTAATCATCTCCTCATACTTTAATTAAAAGAATTATTAATTACATTATTTCCCCAAACAAATAAATTAAATTTAATAAATTCATTTTTTTATACAACTTACTTTATAATTATTTTTATTATTTTTATAACGCTTTTTCATATGTACTAACGCTTTGCAAGCATGTTTTACTGTATGAAATTTTTCTATAACATCCTTTCGTCGAATTACTTTTTCACATCTTTTTATCTTTTCACTATTATTTATTATATCTTTTATATCTTGTTTTTTTTTCACTTTTTCCGTTTCGTTTATATTATTGTTTTCATCGATATCTTTTAAATCTTTTTCTATTTTATTTATTTCATCATCTTCTTCCTTTATTATGTTTATTATGTCACGCTCTTTCTTTTTTGCATGTCCTTTCTTTTTTGTATTCTCCTCATCATCTTTTCTTTCATACCAATAAACATTCAATTGAAAATCATCCACTTTATTATGTAATCCATCAGATTCAAACATTTCAATTCGCAACTTTGTTTGGTCCCTTTCTTGATTTACTGGAATATTATTTGACCATATATATTCAAGGAATGGTTCTCCTTTGTTAAGAAGTTTATCTTTTTTTATACTATCATCTTTTTTTATACTATCATCTTTTTTAATACTATCATCTTTTTTTATACTATCATCACTGATCAGACGCCAAATTTGAACCGTGGATCTACCAACAGTAAGTTGTAAAGTTTCTGATCTTGTTTCCTCTTTGTTACAATAAAGGCAATAGAGAATAGGATTAAAACTTAATATCCATGGTTCTGTGCCACTACTATTCACACGACAGGCGGTACGTGGAATCCTCTTTTTTTCATTCTCCACATCTTTTGGTTTTAACTTTTTAGCATTTGCAAGAACAGATGAAACATTTCCATGATCATTGATATATAAAATATTTCCTGAAGTTCGTGCTAAACGAGGATAAATATTCTCTCTATTGGTTTTAGTAAATGAAAAATCGTCTAACTTCATCAATTCATATTTGCCGGTATCATATAGATCCCAAATTATAAACTTCAGCAGCACTTTATTGTCGCCTTTTTCCTGATTTTTGTCGCTTTCCTGATCTTTGTCGCTTTCCAGATCTTCACCCTTTTTCAGACTTCCTATTATAAGTAGTTTTTCATCGCTTTCAATAAATTCCAATAAATGTATTTTTTTTATTTCTTTAAATTTTTTTGATACGATTTGCAAGCCATTTTCTATATGAAACAATCTAATAAATTTGAATTATTAATAGTGTGAAATTATTTGTTATTTAAAAATCATTAACGGATAATATAACTTACTTAATAGTATCAACCTGAGCAAAGCAAAGTTGTAACCTACTAACTGAAAAGGTATAATTATCGTATTGTTTTACGATATTTTCAACAAGTGTTGCGTCAATTTCATGTTCCATTTTTGCCAGATTGTAAACTAGAAAAATTATATTATATTATATTTTTAACATCATTACAATGTAATAATAAATAAACAATATTAAGTTAATTACCTTCAAGCGATTGCACGTCATATTTATAACGTGTGATCAAAAAATATTTATTGTAAATACATGAAAGAATTCTATTCATGCAACTATTACGACCTATATAATAATTATCTAATTCATTTCTAATATTTTGTGGATATTGAAAAATTTCTGCATTTAATTTTAAAAAATGATCAAAATGATCATTAAATTCAAACCCATGTATCCCATGGTAATTTAATACTATAAATCTTTCTAGGTTGGTATCACGTGATTTGTCTTTGTCTTTTTCATTTTCACTTGATTTTTTATTACATATTTCCATAAATCTTTTTAGGATGGTATCACGTGATTCATCGTCTTCGTCTTCATAATCTTCACTTGCTTTACTTGAATATATGAATTTACATATTCCAGAAATTTCATCAGAATAATAATAATCAGTCACAGCGGTAATATGAATTTTCTTCTCTACATTTTCTATTTTCTCAGAATCTTTTTCATTTTCTTCACTTTCATGCTCTTCTTTTTGATTTAATTCAATACGATAAATAGCGATTCCTTTTTTACTTTCATCTCTACTGGAATCTGGTGATATATTCACTATATATTCATTTCCATTGGGTGGTGAAGGGTATACCTTTTCACTAGGTTGCACTTTTTTATAATTGGATTTTTCATTGTCATCTTTTTCCTTCTCGATTTCTCCTTTCATATCCTCGTTAACGTTAATGCGAGACAAGGCGATAAGAATAAAATGTTTGCTTTCTTGTTGGGGGTTCAATTTCTCCTTCTCCTGATAGCATCTATCATTCATTTTGTACATATTTGATATATCAAAAGACCACCTAAATCCATCACTTTTTGTTGTGTTTCCATCACTTTTTGAAGGACTAACGTTGCTGTGATCAAATGAAGGAGGATCATGGTCATAAAACTTGTTAATAGTTAAGTCTTCGTTTATTTTAAAACAAGCGATTGTTTTATTAATCTCGATGGGTTTAAATTCGTTCTCATTTCCAAAATTATCCTTTTTCTTATTTAATGGACGATAATCAGGGTTCTGTAGTATTTCTATCCGAAGATTTACTATTCAATTTTTTTTTTTTTTTTAAAAAAAAAAGAAAATGATTTATCGATATATGTTTAGAGTTCGCATAATTAATTACTAATAATGAAATTCATATGTTTTTTACCTGTATCGAATATAGCAACATATTTTCCATCTTGACAAATTACAATTTGACGATCTGAAATGTTATCAACTTTTTTATCTGGATCTTTCTTCGACGAAATGTTATCATCTTTTTCATAATCGATATCGTCCATATCTTTCGTAAAAAGTTTTTTGTTAAATAAATATAATTATGTATTTTTGATAATTCGAGAAAAAAGATGAAGAAAGCTAAATCCGTAAAAGCACTCAATTTATTTTAAAAAAAAAAATCTAATCTTTAATATCTGCAGTAACACAAAAGGACCCGAGAAATATACAAAAGATTGGTCACTCATATATGAAGATTATCCGTATTGTTATTGTTACCTTTTTATGTATTGCTCAATCAGAAAATGATTGATTATTACTTTTGTGTAAATTTATTGAAAAATTCTAAATCAGTAAACTAAGACTATCATGATAACGCAAGATTACATATACTGTACAATTGTAACATATTTTCTTTATTTATAGATAATCACTTTTTTCCTATTTGGTAAATGTTAATGAATGGAATTTGGAATTTTGTGAGAAATTAGCCACCGAGACAATTTTAGTGAAAATAATAAAAAAACCTAAAATAAAGCAAACATTCAATTTTATTCAATGATTAAAATTTGAAACAGTGTAAGATTAGTTATCTTATAAACAAGCCTTTTACAAGAATGAAAATATTATGAAATTCAGACAAGGAAGCACATTTTCTTGTTAATTGTCATTGAATTTACTATTAAAATTTCAATTTCATGTGGGTTCTTACATAATTAACGATTTAATAAAGAATTTTCGAAAATTACATTATCATTGTTGTTACAATGAAAGATAACCGTTTATGCATAAATTTATTCCCGAACTCCGTTGACAATACTAAAAAATTTGATATTTGGAATTAAGTTTCATTAGATATTTCTCATTTGGATATCGTATGATTGAGTTATTATTAATTTGGTTAGTCGATCAGTCGATCGATCTTATTGAGGCTGGTTTTGCGTATATATATATTTTAAACATTTTTCCTATTTGGTAAGTGTTAATGAATAGAATTTGAAATTTGAGAGAAATTAGCCGACGTGACAATTTTGGTGTTGAAACACTGTAAGGTTAGTTATCTTAGAAACAAGCCTTTTACAGAAAATGAAAATATTATGAAATTCAGACACAGGAAGCGAATTTCTTGTTATTGACATTGAATTTACTACTAAAATTTCAATTTCATGTAATTAAAGATTTTAATTTTTTTTTTTTTTCGAAAATTACATTATAATTATTGTTAATAAAGATAACCGTTTATGCATAAATTTATTCCCGAATCCGTTGATAATACTAAAAATGAATTTTTAGTTAAATAATATAAGCCTTTTAAATAGTGATTATTATTCGTTAAAAATTGAATTCTAGAATTTTAGAATTTTGGAATTAATTTCATTAGATATTCCTCATTTATAATCACAATAACAATTTTGGTTTAGTCGATCTTATTGAGCGGATGTCGCGGATATTACAAATATCGCGGATATTTTTTTTTAACAATTTTTAATGGTTCTTATTGTTCTTTCAACATTAGTGTATTTCCTGATTAAGGTTCGATGTAATACGTTTTCCGAGTGTCACATATTTGGTGGATACATTTTTTTTTAATTAAGTTTATTTCGATGAGAATTTGATAATGATCGGCAGGGCGAAATTTATGTCGATCATCATAAGGTCAGCGTTAAGAAGATTTACCATTGTAACCAATAATTTTATAATTAAAATTCTACCCCACGTGACGGTGATATTTAAAGGGACGTGAAAAAAATAATTTTAGGAGGCAATAAAAAACTGTCCCTCAGATAAATATAACCAGTGAAAACGCAGTAGGGTGATGAATATTTTAGGTCACGTGGGGTAGAAAATTTGTTGGTGTTACTGGGGAAGATATGAGGTGATGCCAAATATCTCTATACAGCAAATTATTAATGAAAGTTTAAATCATATTTTATACAAATAAATTTTATTTACACAACGAACTTAAGAAAATAATATTACTTTATGAGTTTTAGGGAAATTACAGTTTATTGCGTGCAGAATTCGGAATAGGTACATTGGAGTTTTATATTTCGTGGTCCGCTTTTCTTTAATTCTTTTTTTTTGGGGGAATTTAAAACTGTTTAAGCAATCTTATTTCTTAAAGTATATTATCATAATCGTCATAATCTAATTTGGAAATTGGCTTCTTTCAATCAATTTGCAATAAATCATATGGGACGAAAGCCTCCTAAAAAGAATGTTAATATCCGGTATGTGGTTGATCAGTTACTGTAATTCAGCGCAACTCTAAATTAATAATAAAAATAACTGAATTATTTTAGTATTATAATTAAATAAAAGAAAAGATACTTACTAATTTTAACTCTGAAAAAAAAATACTTTTTTTTTATAATATAAAATAAATAACCAAAAAAAAACTCATTCTTAATTTTCATTTTTATTATTATTATTTTTGGACGAAATTCTTAAAATAATTGTATCAGTTAATTAATGTAAAATCACTATAGCGCTGCTGCTTCACCCATGTATGATATTCAAACTCATCCGACCCGGCCTTCATTTTTAATTTAAAAAATCTACAAAATGGTATAATAATCACGATATAATGTTAGAATTAATTTGCAATGTGAAAATAATTATAGGAAATGAAGTTGCGTATGATGATTTATTACTGGTTGGTAAACTAATGTTGATTTCTTCTGCTTCTTTAATTTTTTTTCCTATTTCTGATTGATCGTCATATCCAACTTATGGTCGATTTAATGGATTTGCATCCATTAGCACCTTTTAATTAAATGTATAATTAATTGGGACACTTTAATATTAAATCTTGGTCTAAGACCCAGACAAATTTTTATTGCTAAAATTTTCTTCATGACTTAAATCAATAATACGGAGGGTAATCTAGATATTACTTCATAGTTCATACATAATTATGCCATATATATTGTTTTTTGTATTTTCTAATGCTTCATAATCTGCAGGTTTACATAATCCTATGTCAGTTATATCTTGAACTTTTAATATATTGCCAATATGTGAAATTTGATAAATTATGAATTTTAGTTTTCAAGGCAAAATATAATATCATATAAATCACTAAATTTAGTATAATAATCTGATCTATCATAATTTTTATTTAAATAATTTCGTAAATTTCCACCCTTCGCATATTCTAAAATCATCATATAATTTTTTTGTTTCTGGATCTTTGTATAATTCCATAAACTTTAAATGACAAAAGAAAATATAAAACCTTTAGTCCTACAACCCATTGTAATCTAAATATATATACATATTAGTAAAGTCATATTTAAAAATGTCATCATAAACTAAGAAAATAGTTTTTACCTCATTGATAAATTTAGCGCTGAGATAAAAAAAAATAATACTACGATATATATATATACAAAAAATTGGGCTGATGTTATTATCCCGTGATTCCAAAAATTTAGCAGATCAAAAACATTCAAATATTTCCTTTTGATATAAATAAAAGTGCTTAAATAACTCTAAAAACGGACTCCTCGACGTGAAATACTATAGAAAATGTCAACACACGGACATAATACTCGTTCCAAGAGTAGACTTAGACAGCTCGAAAAAAACTTTCTCAAATGAAGAAATAAACTCAGAAACATATGGTATCCATAAAAAAAATACGGACACATCCATAGAAGAACGTTCGTTCAAAATGCAAGCGTTAGACAAAGAACAACTTGATAATAATAGTTTACCTTCTAATAATATGGATAATACTGAATTTTCTTCTCCTCACGCGCTCTCTTCGGAACATGATATCTCATCACATGACATCTCAAATGAAAAAAGAGATGCACCGATTACAAACGAACAAGATGCGATGAGCATTGATCATCCTGATGAGTTGCTTGATCAAAATAAAACAAACACTGCTAATCCCAATACAGACGGATCTGCAGCAATTAATAATTCTACACGAGCTATCACTACTTACGAAGTTTTCATACCTCGGGATAGTTTCAACAAAGAAAAATCAAATAATGAAATTTTAGATCAAATCAAAAATGCATTTGTCAATGACAAATCAGCTATCAAATTTAAAATACATACCTCAATGACGTACACATATTTTGTTATTACACTTACGTCACAAGAAACTTTTATCCGATTAACCACCAAGCCTATAACTAATCTAAATAATATCAAAGCATATGAATTAACACAGCAAAATATTGAATCACGTGCATTCAAAATCTTTAAACCGCAAGACGATAATATTTTAAGAGTATTGGACGTCCCATTTAATTATGACGTTAAACTACTAGTATCACACATTGCTACTACAACTGGTAAAATTATAGTAACCTACAAAGTGCTCAAAAAACGTCCTAGAGAAATTAGAAATAGATTCAATAACAAAAAAATTTTTATCAACCCACCATACAAACTAGTTATCATTAAATTTGATAGTAATGGTGCCTTACAATATCTTATGGACAAAGATATGTGGGGAATTCTTATAGAAGACTTTTTAGTCAGGATTGTTCCAGGAAACATGCAATGTGATGAATACAAAAAGCGCACTTCATCAAGTTTCTTAGTAACTGGTATTCCGCTTAACGCGAATATCTTTGACCTTAAAAATCTTATTACCTATTTAAAAGGACGCACTTGTACCTTCACCCAAACCAAAAGGACGTCACTACACAAAAATGCTTATATATATTATGATTTGAATGATTATAAAGATTCAACTCCAGTTCCAAAATTTTCAACTGATTTCAATAACTCAAAATTATTCATATATAAATCAGAAGCCCACGTTAGAACATGTGGTAATTGTGGCGACTCTACTCATCAAATTAATGAATGTCCAGACTCAAAATTTTCATTAGGTCATAGAGGTCAAAAATATTTCAATAAGAAATACAGTATATCAAACGAAATAATGTTAAAATTACTTTTGATCAAAAGATAAATATATGATCACGTGATCAAACTCTTACAACTATAGAAATTCACAAAGCGTTAATAGAAACAATATTAATTCCAATAATAACACCGCCACTACATCCAATAATGCACGTTCAAATAATAATAAATCGAATTTTAATACATCAAAACAAGGATCAACTCCCCGTGGCAGTACGTCAAATTCTTTTGATGTAAAAGAAAAAGAAGTTTTACTCAAAAGAATTAATAATCTTGAAGCGGCTGTTAGAGAGCTTACGGAAATGGTCTACATTCTAAAAGAATCTAAAGATTCTACCAAAAAAGATATTGCCATCAATACACACAATATTACGTCGTTAAACAAGAAGTTTGAGTAACTTATCGTACGACATAAAAGACTAGATGAAGAATACTCCTCTACCTCCAAAAATATTTCTTTAATTTTAGAGAAATTAAGTAACAATTCCTCTTCTAATGATACCCAAATACGTACTCATAAACATAATACCAGACATAATCCTTATGGACAATCTTCTTACCAACAAACGAAAAATAGACACATTCCTCAACACGAAGAAGTCGTATACGAAAATGATAATGTTATGGAAGAACAAGATGAAACATATGCTGAACATGAATATGACAGCACATATAAAACAGAACAAGTGAACGAAGTAATCCACCCTAATCTTAACAATTCTACTCCCAAGAGATCGTTTCTTGTACTAGAATACTAAATAATCGATCGATCAATCTTTTATTTTATTTTTGGCTGATTCTCCATTTTTGATTTTAATCCAACCTTGATTTATACACATCTTCTTCAAATTTTATATTTTTCTAATGATAGTACAACAAAATAACATTGATTTGGATACGAGTTCCTCCCCTAAATTTTCCCAATTTTCTTCCATGAACATTACTAATTCTTATTTTTCACATTAAATACAATATCTCTTTTTTACATTAAAACCAATATCTCTCATCATTATTTTTCTTTTTTACATTTAAATACCACTTTTATTATTAGATGGTTTTTATTATGATGTGTAATCAATTTTTAAATAAATTAAATAAATTTATAGGAATTCTTGCAAATTATTTAATTATTTATTGTCAATCGAAATTTTATGATCAGTGATAATTTTGGCCGAATTTTTAATTCCAGCTAGAATTAACGAATACACATATCACATGATTAGGAAATGATTGGATTCAAAGTTTATAAACAAAATAAATAAATAAATAAATTAATAAATAAATAAATAAAAGAAATCAAATTAATATTGTTTCTACAAGATAGAAATATTATTACAATTTATAAACATAAAATTGACGCCATTAACATCTCAGGATTTTAAAGTATGCTATCACCAAGAAAATCGTTCATCTATCTATAAAAAATATAATTAATAATTTACATTAGAAATATTTCTTACCAATTCTAGATAGTTATTGCGTCAATCAAAAGTTCAATATGACTCACCTATACAATATTATTATTAAAGTTAGATATATTATGTAATAATTGTGTCTGATCGATGATCTTTCCATACTCAGCACACTCAGCCTCAAACGCGTACTATAGAACACGACGTGTCTCAATAAATACACAAGATGAGTCAATTTTCAGAAAAAAATTATATATATCCTATATTTTTTTCTCATACGTTTAATTTTTTTGTATGGTTAAAATACTTTTTCGTACGTTTAACTTATTTTTTCGTACGTTTTTTTTTATTTCAATAACTCGGCAACAAACAACTGTTGTTTGTCGAAAAAAAAGTTTTTTTTTTCTTTGGTCATTAAATGAGGCAACTAAATTCCTTAAGGGTGCAACAGTATGCAAGAAAAAAAAAAAAAATTTTTATTCTTCAGCCAACAACTACTGTTTAATAC